AGTTACACAAATCCTTAATTTAAAGCTGCTTTGGATCGTGTCCACAAAGATTTGTCTTCCTGCAGGGCTTAAGACACTTTGAAACGTCTTGGTCTTATATCTGAATATTTACATGTAGTATGGTATTGGTCCTATATTTGGTATGGCTTTTGGGCGTCAATTTGGTTAGTAAAAGAACGCATTGAAATTTGACAGATTGGTATGAGAATATATTGATATCTGAGAGTTCAGCCTAGGACCCCCACCGGATTTTGTAAACAGTGAACCCGCTCAGATGCATAGCAAATGAATTTGAATAATGCTCCAGAATTTGATTGTAAATAATAGGATGAACCCAATATCAGATCGCTTCGATCACTCATGTTGATATTTGATATCAATTTTGAATCAACATCATACCACCAAGAAATTACACGTATCTGATATTTTGGAAATTTCTTAGCTTGTATTCGCGAATGCAACTAACGGCTAGCAGCTACCGGTTTAACTTACTATTTTATGGGTAACTCATTATCCAATACATCACTCATACATAACGTATTATTATGTATAAATGTTGTATCTGTTTTCTTTAAAGGGTGACGCATATCGTTTAGCAAATCGAACGCTCGTTTCTGGTGTTGCTCACCGTTTAGTATAAAAGGCCCGATCCCGGAATAATACTCAAGGGTTCACAGGTTCGAGGTTGTTGTGTCAACACCTCTAACTGTTATACAGCATAAGTATATTATAGATCGTCACACATTTATAAAAGGGTGATTTTTATTTTGACAAATCAATTCCACATTTATGGGTGAAGTTTCAGGATCTTCTATTTGTGTATAATAAGGAAAAATTGGCATCTAAATTTCCCCATAACGTAATAGCACACAGCTTGGCATATGAAATATCCTACAAATGAAACAAAGCAAGACAAACCGGTTTCTAATACAAGGATTTATATTGGCTGTTGTACATGTATTCTTTGAACGCAATCACTCTTTGGATAACGTTTTCAAAATCATTATAAACGGATTACTTTATCTCAAAGACAATTTCAATAAACTGGATTTTACAGAACTCCCCTTATTTCTTAAAAATGGACCGATCCAGTTGATTCGCCTGGAGCCGCCATATTGTTTTTTTACGGGATGCTAATCGTCACCCTTTAATGTTGTATTGTTGATAGATTTATGTTTACATGTTTAATCCATTTTATTATGGGAATAGAAGCGACATAATAATAATAAGGTGAATAGTTTTACGCAAAAAATATGTTTCAAGATGGCCGCCTCTTTAAAAATGGTCAGAAATTTTCGCGATAATCTATGTTTTTCATTTTAAACCAAAGTAATAAATATTATTGTTTTAAATATTGAAAGTATATTCAAAATATATATCTATTTCACGTTTATTCCGTGTTTTTCATTTTGACCCCAAGGGACTGTGTATGGGAGTCAGGAAAACGGGAATTTATCTTAATTTTGAGATCTTTCTGAAGTATAGCTTTACTATACTCAAATGAAGGGCAGTTTAGAGTAGATTGCAAATAGTATATCGTAATTTGGGCCTTGTAAAATTCAAAATGGCCACCTTATGTGAGATTTCGCAACAGTTTTCTATTCTCTTCAAAGTTATGGCTTTATTATACTCAAATTGAAGGATGTTTAGGGTAGATCATTGTTATGATATTGTTTCTGATTTGTGCCTCAGAAAATTTAAAATGGCTGTCAACAGGAATTTGCGTTAATTTTGAGATCTTTCTGAAGTAAAGCTTTACTATACTCAAATGAAAGGTAATTTAGAGTAGATTGCAACTATTGTATAAATGTTCTGATTTTGGCCATTAAAAATGGCCGCCTGATGTGGGATTTCACAATAATTTTCTGAACTCCTCAAAGTATGGCTATACTATTCTTAAATTGAAGGAAAATTTTGTTTTCCTGATTTGTGCCTCAGAAAATTCAAATTGTCTTTCTTATTTGTGCATTTGAAACACTTAAATGGTCACTCAAATGCTTAAATTGGTAGAAATTTTGATATTTCTCTAATGTTTGTATTTTCTGTGACAAATACAGATTCAATTATATTATAGTGTTCCTTGGGATTTGCTACTCCGTGGAGTTGCCGTTTTCTAGTTTAAATATTTATATTAACTGCCACTTTTCTGTTGCTCAGATGCAAAAAGCAAATAAAGCAATCGATAACTTCACTACAATAAATTATTTAATAGGTCGATAAACTCCAGGGTGGGACAATCCATATAGCGGCTTAATTAGCAACCACAAAATCCAGAGGTTTAAGAAACACAGGTCGTATAAAAAAACGCAACAAGTAGTTATCTCGTAAAATCACAAAACTAGTGATGACTACATCAATTTCATTTAATGTACCATAAAGCCACGTCTCTCGATGTCATTCATTCACATGTGGTAATGGTTGAGTGAGAAATCCTTCCATTTGCACAGTGGGTCAAAATCGGCTCTGCGCCAAGTTTTAGATATTGAAAAAATCAGTGCAAGGGTTAAGTGCCAATGGAAGTTCCCCTGACTTGAATTGTTGTGACTTTTTCTTTTGGAGCTATCTCAGGAGCATCTGTGCTCACAATTCCTCCACCAGATATTGCAAAATCTCGAGAAAGATTTTCCCATGGGCTGCTTTTCTTTGCTTTAACCCACACATGATTCAGGGCTGAACCATGCATGACGTGGACAGATGAGCGCATCTTTATGTGCAAGGAAGTGGTGGCAATTTGGAGGGGTATAGGATGTATTCTTGCAAGAGTATGAGTATGAACATATTACTGTCTATTCCACACCTGTCACACCTTCTTCCAACAGCCCTTATGCCCCTTGTACTGACTTTTGCAATGTTTTAAACTTGGGTCCGAGCTGAAATTTGCTCCACTTTGCAAAATTAATGATTATTCGGCCAGAGATGACTCCCTGTGAATGAATGATATTCCATTACAAAGAGGAGTAATTTGGCTTTTGGTACATGGAATTAAAAGGATGCATTCAGCATTGGTTTTATGTTTTCGTCCAATATTGCATCGGGCTCCGTACACTGACTTTTGCAATGTTTATAACTTGGCCCAAAGCTAATTTTGGCCCACTTTGCAAATGGATTGATTACTCGCCCAACCATGACCAAATATCAATGAATGATATATCGTTGTAAAGAGGAGATACATGGCTTTATGGTGCATTGAATGAAATCAATGCTGTTATCACTGGTTTTGTGCTTTTCCAAGATAACAATCTGTTGCGTTTTTTGATACGCACTGTAGAAGTACTGTATGCCTACTTAGTCTTTCTTTGTAGTTTACTCTCTAAATGTTGCTCTTCGTGGTTTTGTTAAATGTTAGTTTATTGATATTATACTATACTCTACAAAGTCATTTACATAATTTGATGATTGCTAGCCTAGAATCTTTCATTCATTTTCTAAAATAGCATTTGTTTTGTGCCACTGTTGCCCTGTGTGTTTTCTCCCTTTGTCATATACTAAGTTAAAATATCTTGATATGGTCCACATTCAGACATTGTAATATCTTAGACTTTACGTCCATACCACTGGCGGATGTGGGGGGGGCCCGCCCTTCCCCCCTATTTTGAGCTAAAAAAGCCTCAAGGCCCCTAAAAGTGGGCCTTTTTGGTCATAAATAGGCTTTCTAAGGCCTCATTTTTTATTTAAGGCCAAATTTTGAAGAAAATGGGCTTCAAATTGTCAAAATTTGTGCCCAATTTTTGGCCATTCCCCCTCCCAGATCCGCCCCTGCATACATTATTAACTTATACAACAATATTGATGGATGACATTTTGTAAAAAAATCTCCAAAAGACGTGGTCACTGTTAGTCGTCCAATGGGTTGTTCGATATTTCAGCAGGAAGTTGAATAACGCAAATGCGAGTAGGTAGTTACCAGTTTCACCACCAGGTGGCTCGCTCGGGTCAGATAGGTTGGCGGGTATAGTAGAACGTTCCCTTTAACTTAAATTACATCTGCTTCAGTGGTTCAATTTTCATATAGCCCTTATGTATCGAAGTGTTATGCAAATTAAAGTATGGCCAGTAAAAGAAAATGTAAGAAAAAATATTTCACTTTTTGTGATTTTTTAATATGAGGTCTATCACCCCGAACTAGAAGTCACATTTTCAAAAAAGATTAAATTTTCAAAGTTGATAAACAATTTTCGAAACCATATTTTTAGATGTAGTTTTACATGTAGATTTCAAATATGACATCAGTTTGACATAATTTTGAATATTTAATGACGTAAATCAAGATCATTCCTACTCGCATTTAGTCTATTAGGAATGCTACCTTGCTCGGAAAATATCACACTTCTTGCGAACGCATTTGTACCACTCGAAAATACAACTTTCGGCTCATGGCTCGGGTCGTTAGTTGCTGCTGTTAGTTTTTCAAGTAGACTTTAGTTCAAGATAAGCGCAGCGAAACACTGCAGGATATACAGTCAACAAATTAACAGCAAAATATGCAATGAAAAATGCAAAATAGATCGCTGTTCAAAAATAAGAGCGTTGCATTTTTGAGTTACCCTGTAATAAATCTTAATAAAGCATCATTAAGCAGGCTTGCGTGTCGAACTCGCAAATCGATTAGATCTATAGAGTTTCACTTCTAAACATCAGAAGTTAGAGCATCAAACCAAGAGTGATTAAAGTTTGGAGAAAGGTCATGTGGAACACGATTAATTCAAAGTCAGAATTTGGAGAATATTCATTAATTTGTAAATTATTCCTGCCCTTGTGCATCTCAAACTTTAGGATTGCGTTTAACAGATATTTAGATTATTTTAGTCAGACATTTGCCGAGGATGTTACATCAGCCTTAACAATTCTTTCGATCGTACGTATGATGCTAGCACTATCTAAGTCATACCCATCACCAACTGCGACGAAACAGATATTAATCGTACTCGTGGAGACTCGTCAGGATTTTTACAAAGCCATGGCATTTATAGCGCTTTTTGGATCCATAATGCTCTCTATTCTTTTGACGTTTGGATTAACACCGGCAGGTGGACTTTTCAAAATTTTGTTCAAAATTTCAGATGATGAGTTACACTTGACACAGCTTGGCATAACTAGCATTTGTCTTGTTCCATTTTTATCAAATCTACAGAATGCATTAGAAGGGATTCTTTTAAAAGAGAATAGTTGGAAACTAAACATGTTTTCGAAGATTGACAGCATTCTCCTCAAGATATCCACTGTTGCTGTACTGATGAACACAACTCTAGCGAAATACTACCCCATTTTCATACCTATTATATCTGTGTATATATCGTCATTATGTGCATTGTTGATATTGGGTTTAGCTTATAAGTTGTCACTTTTCAAAGAACTCCCGGATGAGGCATCGAGGCAGAATTCGAACAGAAAACCGCTAACATTTATGGATATCGTGAAGTTGACAGCTCCGATGGGAATGAAACAAATTGTGGAAAAATTTGAGTTGACACTTTTGAAAATCATCCTTGTTCATATATCGAACAGCGAAATGGAGGGAAAGCATGTATTAGCGTACTTGGATGTCGTGCAAAATGCGGGCTACGTATTATCCAGATGGCTATTTGGGATACCACCACTAATGACAGTATATTTAGGAAAGAATTTGAAGAATGTTGTGTACAAAGATCGGTATGATAGACTTGTTGTGTTTATATCTATTGTTGTAGCATTTGCAACGTTGCTAAAGGTTCTTGTTTGCTGGGTACCATCGTTAACCAAAGCTTTTCTTGTAGGGATTTTTAACATACCAGAGATTGAGTTTAATTTTATAAGTTACCCATTCAAGTTGTGGACATTTCGGCCATTATTATATGGCGTGTATACGTTTTCTGTGGGAGTACTGACACATAAAAAAGACACAAAGATTCTTATCACGTGTTCCATTCTGGAACTAGTGATGATTTCAGGTGTACCGCTTTTGTTAAATCTAATTGAGATATACGGCCTACTGTCCGGAATTATGTCCCTTTATATTTCACAAGCGGTATCAACTTATATTGTCTACATATACTATTATGTTAAACATTGTTATCGTGCCACGCAGCTATAGAAGAAACTCGAGAGCAAAACAAGACCTTCTAGACTTCGAAACTCGCGGTCGTCAGTTCCGATCTCGCTGCGCTCGTTCCTTCCACCCAAATCACGTTCTCACTACGAGGATATCGGCTCTTTAATCGCGTCTACTAGTTCCTCTCTCCCGAACCTATTTCTACACTCACACATCGAGTTCCAACATCGTAAACAACACAAAAACAAATTCCACTCCCAAACCTATTTCTATGTACCAGGTCATCTAATAAGATCGCGGAAAATAGTCATATTTCAATGATTTTTAATTTATTTCATGAAAATACACAATGTGTACAAAATAGTTTCTAATTGATTCTTAAATTTGATTGGTCAAAAATAATGGTCTCTATGGAAACTTGACTTTTAGGTAGGCGGGGCACTTTTTACGTCACACAACTTACCATTACAGAAATCTATCAATATATGAAAATAATGGATCCCTATGTTTAGTTGTTCTAATTTAAATTATACACGTACTAAGGGGAAATTGACATTTCTGGGATCCTGCTAGTCCATGCTGTACCAGAGCGCCAGAAAACCAACAAAGATTATTATGCTATGGTAAGTTGGTAAAACTTAACCATGCATACAGCAACACCCAGGATAATGCACCCAGTCACACTGCTAATATTGTGCAGGAAACCATAATACGTAGCTTGACGATGACAAAGCTGTTTCGAACCAATACTCTCCAGATGGTACAATTCTTGATTTTGTTTTTAACAGGATGAAGGATCAGCTCAAAGGTGTTCGTTATGGGACAAAGCAACAACTTTGACTTCAGCCCGGATCCAGTTAGCCCTTGAACGCCAGCGACTGTACATTTTACATAAAGGATGATTTTCACCTTATGGGACAAAAGTTGTGACTATTATATATTAATAAGTTATATCATGTACACGTAGATAACGGAGAAGAGGAAATGTATGCATGTGCTTCACTCATAAACTTGCCTACTATTATTTTGCTTTTCTATCGAATAATATGACGTAAAAATTGCCGCGCCTATTTAAAATCCAAGTTAAACCATTTTTTACCAATCGAATAGAGGCGCCAATATTTTAGGAATCAATAACAAAATACACATGTGTGATAAGGAGTGGTATCGATATGGTAAATTTTTTGATCACGCGTTTCTCTTAAACCAGTCATAAAAAATCTAAAAAAATTAACACATCGTCAATTTAATGGTCATCTTTTAAAGTTCTTCTTATTTTTACTTATATATATATATATACACTTTCATCTTCACCTCATTGGAACAAAATGACATAAACACAACATGTTTAGGTCTCTCAATATTGTAATTGTACAAAAGAAAGTTTGGTCGATTTTAAAAAAGTATCCTTTTCGCATTAAATTGTTGTCAATCAGTTAACATTACGTAAAATACCGTCTTTTTTACAGAATGTTTTCAATAATTGCTTTAAGAGAAAAACATTGTTGAATTCCAGTTCACCATATCGATACTTATCCTTTTATGAGAAAATATCAAAACTAGTATGAGAGCATTTTTCCGTGAACTTATTGAACGACCTGCTGGTACACTCAAGCATCGAGTCCCAACACCTCGAAACAAACAAAAATAAGTTCCTCTCCCGGACCTATTCCTACACTCACGCGTTAAGTCTCAATATTGCGAACAAAGGTGGTTTGCGACTAAGGAGTCGATATTCGCGTTGTGAGAACGGCACACGTGTTGGAAGGAGCGAGAGGTCGGAAATGACGACTGCGTGAGTCGAAGTCTAGGAGACCTAAAAACGGGATGCTCTCATATTTTCATACATGATATCATACACTAATCTGTGTATGTTGAGCGACAGTGTGATGTTCTCGATGCTTGTTTCTTGTTTATGATTAGAAACATCATCATTCTAAATAAATATGTAGGCCTACAAAGAAAATAGCTGCACATGTATATTTATAAGTTCTGGTGTCCTTGTTTCAAAGATTGTATTGTATGGAGGTTATTTAATGGGAATTATTTCATACATATGGGTTATGCACTGGGAGGTTTTGGATACAGGGAATATCCCGAGGGATATACAATAATGGTAAGGGCATCAGTCTTTGGATCCAAGGGTCATAGGTTCCGAGGATTCCCACACGGGGCATTGAATTTAGCCCCTGGGGCGCCCTCGGGTCAGTAAACTTATATTTTTTACTGTATAGTAGGATTACACAGCGGGCGGATCTGGGAAGCAACAAGGGGGGGGGGGATTTCAGGTCATAGAAAAAAACTTCCGTTCCACTTTTTGGGGCATAAAGGCCTCTTTTAGGCCCAATATTTCTTGGGCCAATTTTTTTTTCTGGGCCCACCCAAGGGGGGGGGGCAGATCCGCCAGTGGTACCCACTTGACGATACAATTTTTTGGGCTAGTGTAGGTCTACATGTACATGTACATGTCAGTACGTCTAATTCCAAACACCCCCATCAAAAAATGTAGTTAGCTTGGCTGTACTGCACATCTATGCTATGATTCTATATATATTATGTGTATTATCCACTGTAGAATGCATTTGCAGAAAAAATTACGAAAAATTGTAAAAAATATCTGGGTTATTCCATTTTTACTACAAGGTATTTTAGGGGGGTAATTCCGAACAGGAGTTTTTTTTGGGGGTAAATCCGAACACTTGCATGGGGGTAATTCCAAACACTTAACTTAAACTTAATTGTTTTAATTATTAGATTGATGGTATATCATTATATGATACCCTTAACTTATGATACTGGATCCTGTCACCCCTGCATATCAAGAAACCCAAATTTAAATCATTTATTACTGACATCTATTTATTTAAACGCACAGAGTTTGTGGGGGTGATTCCAAACACTAGCATGGGGGTAATTCCGAACACCTAAATCATCATAATTGATTATTTTATTGTAAGATTGTTGGTATACATGATTAAATTGTATCTTTCAGGCTATAAATATTATGTAGAGGTAGTAGAGGTACTATTATTCAATTCAATGATCTGCTTGCCATTATTTGGAACCCGTTCGTGTTTACCCCCTGTTTGGATTTGGACGTATTGACTACCTCTTTAACTTGGAAACGAAGAGATGCTCTTGGTTACTCGAGTCTCTAGCTTACAGCTAGACGTAACTTAATTGATTTCGTATGTACTGTGCTACACGCACCTACACGCACCTAGAATTCATTTTTAATAAATTTTATACATATTTCTAAGAATATTGATCATATTTAGGATGAAGCGTTGCTTGTCTGGATTTAGATATTTCAAAATTTCATTTCGGAGTTTGACACATGGTGGAATTTTCTCGCTGTAGCTAAAAATGGCTTCCGGTTCTGGACGTGAATTCAATATTTGAAATTATTCTCGCTTAAAGAAATCAAATATAACAATAGATTCAGACGGGGATGTGAGCTGATGTTCTTCAAATCTATACATAAAGGTATATTTCATATTATTATGCCATATTTACTGTGCGTGTGACACAATGATTTACAATATTTATAATACTAAGGCAGCTCAATCTTCCTCCTCAAAGCCGGAATATAGAGAAGGCTTTGGACCGAAGTAAGCTCTTGGTACTTGATAATGTGTGTGAACACTGGCATTTTATTTTTTCCTATTTTTCTTAACTTTGTTTTGTCTATTCAATTTTCTTCGCCAATCTCAAGTTCTTTGCTATACCCAACGCCAATGCAGTCTTCTAACGGTCTCACACCTGCAATTATGTCCCGGGGACCTCTTGTAAAAAACACTGAACGAAAACTCATTGCCAATAGATGGCGGTCTTCCTGGACGCTGATCTGATTGGTCAAATAAATATAGAAAATTTTTACACTTTACGAAATTATTTTAATTTTGAGTAAATATTGTCTCAAATCAAGTTATGATTCTTCCAAGACTAAGACTAATTTATTTATAAAGTTTAGATGTTCCATTTACGGTAAGCCATTCAATATTTCGGTTTTTATCACTTGATTTATTAAGATAAATTTGAAGAAAATATTTATTTTGTGGGTGATAATTGATGTCAAAATGTTGAATTAAGATAGCTAAGAGATTCCTCTTCTTTTGTAGGGTATCAGTAATTTCATTTGAATCTAATCTGAATCTGGATTTTTTTTTGATTCATTTTTTCGGCGCCAACAATAACTTTAACAATGAATTATCATCACACCAATTTTTGAGATTTTCAAATCATAGATTCTAAAGGGGGGATTGCAGATTTGGAATCCTGACAAAATGTCCCATCTTTCAGGGATCCAACACATTGATTATTTTTTAGTTGTTGTTGATAATCCTGCACGCGGGATCAACTCTACATGGTGGGTACATGTAGGTGGAAATCCACCAAGGTTCAGGTGGCAAATTAAACAATCTCCATAAGCCGCTGTTTCTTGGCAGTTAGATCTATTCTCTTGTACTATCGAATTTGCATTCTGTTATCTCGTTTACAATTTAATTACTGAGAAATTAAATGTTATCATATACAACTTTAGCAATGAATTATGTAATAAAGTATAATGCATAGAACGCATAATACTATATCTAGTAGGGGAATTGGTCCTAATTATCGCACGGTCCTAATTATCGCACAATTGTCCTAAATAGCTAAAATATGCACCCACCATCTTTTAAACCAGTGTTACGAAAAACAGTTCAACACCATTACTCCCAATCTTCATGATTTATTCATATATTTAGAAATATCTCTTCATTTTTTAAGAATTGTTAACTTCCGCCATTGTCATAAATGCTTTTGCGCAAGAAGTGAAATTCGTCTGACAAATTTTGACCCCCTCCAAATAAAGACAGAAAAGTAAGTGTATAATGTATATTTTGTTGATATTTTACACTAAAACTGATAGAAAAATGATTACAGCATATGTATGTATCTGTTATAAACAGAGAAATGTATACAGTATCGTGAAATGACATCTGAAACATAACTGTGCGATAATTAGGACGACTGTGCGATAATTAGGACCACCGCACATGCGAGTCTAAGGGGTCTTAAAGTGTTAGCGTTCGGAGATTGAGAAATGTCAAACACTACTTAGATTTTAGAGGAAAGGTTGATCTTTCGTCTCATATTCTCAAAGTAAGTTGAAGTTATCATATTTGAAATCGTCAGCAGTTTCCCTGAGTACCCGTGCGATGATAGGACGACTTCCCCTAGACAACAAAAGTTTCGTAAGACTGGGAAAATTATGTACATTTTTCTTATGATTTGACAGAAAAGTTAGCAAAGCATCCATCACATCATTGGAAAGCTTATTTCGTCTCCTTATAACCTGTTGATAAGAATTGAATCCAACTGTCAAGAATTTAGAACCTTTAATAGTAGCTGATGAGATATATCTTACAGAGGCATAACATTCATTTTTTGTTATGAATTCTGCAGCAGTTTGCAAGTTACAGAAATAAAATAAAGTAAAAATATTAGACTGGAAAATGGGATTGATAGCCAGGCCATGCTATATTATAAAGAGAGCAATTTATTGTCCAGTTCAACTTTTGACATTGCAATTTGCAAATCCAGAAGGACACTATATTCATGAATCTGTAGATGTCAAAATGACATACCCATTACTGACTATCTATTCTACTCTTGATTTAAGGAAGGGGATCGTCCAGATTTTTGTCCCGGACAACCATTTATGTCCTAATATAACTGCTCATATAACATCATATATGCCTTAGATATATTTTGAGACCATATCATGAGCACAGTTTTACCAATATATTGAGAAAATCAACAGGACAACCAAAGAAAAACCAAATGTCTAGAACACAATCTAGATAAAATTGTGTTGTGAAAGAAATAAAAGATTGCCCAAGCCGGGAATCAAACCCCAACCTTTTGAAAAAAACATGATTCCGTTACTCTAATTGTGTTTTTAGACGACCCCCTTCCTTTAAGTTATTAACAGATACCAAAAGACATACATTAGAGATATAATCATTACTAAGCATTTTGGTAAAGGAAAAGGGTACAATTCAATATTTGCAATCTTATCTAAATTGCCTTTCATCTGAGTATAATGAAGCTATACTTCAGAAAGATCTTAAAATTAATGCAAATTCCTGTGAAATACGCAGAATATACATGTATATGAAATAGATAGATGTTGTGAATATCATTGTTGTACCAAAATTTCAAACAGTGATATTTATTACTTTATTTAAAATGAAAAAAAAACTAGTGGCTGACATCTTGAAATTTCTTTTATTTAAAAAGATTTACCAATGTACATCTTTTTACCGATTATGAAGAAACTCTGCCTACAAGCTTGACTATATCCCCACCAAACTTCATTTGTTGGGATAATAAGCCATCAATGAACTCATCCATGCATGAAAGTGGTTTTAATAGAAAAAAAACAAATTTTAAAATCTTAGTTACTCATAGAAAACAATGGTACAGTAATATTTAAAACACAACACACTGTGAATTTTTTTTTCAACATTCTTGAAAAACCAACATTGGTTTATTTTGAAAGTTTAAAAGATTCTTTGCACCCTAAGTGACATCACTATTTTTTTTTTCAATTCAATTCACTTTATTTCAAATGTTTCAGGTACAGTATTTTACATTGACATGAAACGACACCCCGAGGGGCGTATAAGTTCCATGTTTAACATACAATATAGCATGTATTAAATGCATGCATGCATGTATGCGCAAAAAAACTGAACCAAAAAATGGAACCTCACGGAGATTGCTCCTAGTGAAACTTTCTGAGCGATCAAAATCAATAGCAAATTGCTTTGAAATACGCGAAACAAAATGGTATTTAATGGTTGAAAAATAAAAAAAAACTGATGCAAACTTTTAATCATTTTTTTTCGTTCAGTGCAAAAATGTGACTTTGAATTCCCGGGAACCTTTTTTCATGGGGACGCACTTTTTTGAGGGGGGACGCAATTTTGGAAAATCAATCCGTCCCAGGGAAGCACTTTTGGACAAGCCTACTGAAAGCACTGGTCAGGTTATATAGAAAAAATGACAAAGCATAAAATGCATCATAATAAAATACAAGTCATGAAAAGAAAGCATTTTTCAAAGATCTAATAATGACATAGCAAATCAAACTTTAACTTTCGTTCAAATGATTTGATGTGTTTAGACTTTTTGAGATCAAGTGAAAGAGTATTGTAAAGTAATGGGCCACTGTTTTCTGTTCTGAATTATGATTTATATGATATCACTAAGGACATGTGCCTTGTACTGTAATGTGGAAGATGATGATTCATATATGTCAATGTTAATTTGAATAATGACAGGAAATTTGAATATTAGAGAAATAAAAGGCTGACAAGTCATGAAAAATAGTAATTAAATGAATGGTAAAAACATATTTTCAAACTTATATTGACCAAACTTTATGATCATCCCTCGTATCATTTCATTTTTCAGACACAGAAAAGGTTGAATTGATGGTGCAAAATTTCACATCCCTGGAGCGATCCAAATGCTCTCTTGACATCTTCATTCTCACTCCGAATAATGCACCAGTACCAACACAGAACACAAAACAAGGACCAAAATGGCTCCGGATGTAAGAGAGCATGCCTTCCCCATACATTTACTTCAAGGAATGTTACCACTGACATATTCAAATACACCCAAGGTAGACAGCTAGGTGCATTTCGAGGGGATTTGATCAAGTTAACAGGGAATTATGTAGCAGCTCAGATTCCAGGGTTGTTGCAGGAACAGGCCTTTCAACTTGGTAGGATTAATAAGATATTTGCATCTCAATGGCTCTCTGAAAGAAAAGTTGTCATTGGATCCAAGTGTAACCAGGTATGTGATGGTAACAGTTCATATTCTCAGAATTTAATTGAATGATTATGAAAAACTTCAAGTCTGAATGTTTTTAGATTTATTAGCTTATCAGTCTTATTTCAGCCTAGATGCACTTTAATTGAACGAAAACATTTGCTAGAAAAAGCTCTTGAATCTAATTGACCATGACAGCAAGCATCAAATTTTCATCATGAATGAGGTCGATTTATATCCAAATATGAAACCTGTATGTTAATAGTAGCATCTGTTTATTGAAAAGTTTGCAGTGTTGTAATGAATTGTATTAATAAATAGGGATTATGAATATGTGAACGACAGGCATGTATAGACGAGTGTTCCTGACACAGACTGAAAAATTGAAATTTTATGCATATTTTGAAAGATGTTCTATAACTTGTAAAGCAGGTGTTCTTTACAGAAGAGTGTTTTCTAATGCCAAGCTTACTTTTAACGCGGTTGTAATTTACCGAACGGCAAAAGTAGAAAAAATCCGAACATTTTGAACTGATAAAGATCTTTAAATTGTGAAGGTCTGAGTTCCTGGACCTCTTAGAAAACAGCTAAACATATCAAAAAGTGAAGATGGGTCAATTTGATTCTTGTTCTCAGAAGATATTAATAAAATAGTTAAATGTTTGGAATTTTTTTAATGCTGTAAATTGTTCACAATTCTAAATCAAGAAGTCGCTCGTATTTCTGTCGTATTTAGGAAATCATGTTGCCGAAAATCAGTGCACAGTGTTCATGGTATTGTTGTAAAATTTCTTATATTTTATTATAAACTAACACCTTAGGGTTAAACTTTTGCTCGAGGAATTAACTTATTTTCATCAATACATATTAACCCATCAGGTTTTCTAATAGTAAACTAACGTTCAAACCTCAGTCCATTGTCGTTATCACTTACTACTAAACCCAAGTGAGATATGGCTCTTGCCTCAGCACGAGCCAATAAAACTCAGGTTACCTGAGTAACCAATCAAGTACCAGGTCCCAAAGTCTGATACAATACTTCAAATCAACAATTCTCTAAGATCTAAAATTGAGACCTGTATCTCTCTTATTTCAAAAGTTAAAGCATCCAGTGTGAGGGTTCGAGTCTGTGATATAGACCCCTGTATAAGTCATGGACCCCTAAAAGATCAAAATGTGAGATTCTTTGGACTGATCTTTAATTATGTGTTGCTAATAGATTATAGAAGTTTTCTATAGGGAAAACATCTTATTTTTTTGATGATTCAATTTTATTGTATTTCAGATAGCAGTATTAGATTTATTCACCAAACAGATGGCAATGATACCATCTTTGAAGAGTACAGATAGTAGTCAACCAGCGGACTGCCCATGTGGTATCCATGCAGTTGAGCTTAACCCCTCCAAGACCCTCATGGCAACTGGTGGGGTGAACACTAATGATTTAGCCATATATCAGCTTCCAACATGTGATCCTGTCTGCATTGGGGAGGTACATAGTTTTCTTACTATTTATAATTAGTGAACTTGCTATTTGTAGAAGTCTGTGTTCAAGAAGTAGATTTTCTTGTAGTTTCGTGGTCTTAGCATTAATCACTTATTCAATATTACAGGGTGACACAAAAAATGACACCCACCTTACGTTACATAACTTGTTTGTCTATTAACATATAGACTTGTCCCGTAGCACAATTAAAGTGGACATAATGCCAAAACACCCCAAGTAATTTCACATGTGTAGCACATGTGGGTCAAATTTAATGAGCGTTACAAGCTCTAAATGACGTCCATTCCTTTGCAGACACACAAGGATTCTACACAAAAAATGCTACCCAACTTTGTAAATATAACTTTGTAAATATTAATGATTTTGGCATGTACATTCAGGGAAATGAAGTCCAATCAAATAAACACAAAATAAATTAGTTTCAAAATTATGTTACAAAAGGTGGATGTCATTTTTTGTGGAATATCCAGTTGTGCCAGCAAAGGAATAGAGGACACATTTTGTAACGCTCATAGATGTTCATCTAGGTGAGCTAGCCATCTAAAACTTCTTGTGGAGTTGCAAAATGCAGTGTAATGTGTAATGTTTAATGTGAGAAAAAACAAGTCAGAATTTCTACAGACAAAATAGTTACGAAACATCATGTGAGTGGGTGTCATTTTTTGTGTCCCAAGGTACATTCATGTGATAATTCAGTTATAAACCTATCATCAAAACTAAGTTTATAAAAAAATCAATTAGAAGATACACAAAATAAAATATTCTAAAGTTCAAAGAAATAACTTCACATGAAACTTGGGATAATATTACTGAACTCACTGATACAAACGAATCTTATGATAAATTTGAGGATAAGTTGTCAAGTATCTATAATGAATGTTTCCCATTAAAACAAGTTACAATTAAATTATATAACAATAACCAGAAGCCATGGATAACATTGGCAATACTTAAATCAATTAGAAATAAAAGCAAGCTCTATAAAAAATATCTTAGAAATCCAAATGATCAAAACAAAAACCAATACAAATCTTTTGCAAATCAGTTAAAAACCATCATAAAATTGTCTGAAAAACAGTATTATTATAACAAATTTGAACATAATCAGGGCAATATTAAGGCAAATTGGCAAATAATAAATGATATACTTCAAAGGAAAAATAAAAATAACAATATTTCAGATACTTTCCTTCAAAATAATGTTGAAATAACAAATAAACAGGAAATAGCAAATCAATTTAATAATTTTTTTGTAAAAGTTTGAGAAAAACTAGCAGCAAAAATACCCAAATCAAATAAAAACTCTTTGGACTTTATGCAAACAATAGGGAGACAAGTCGCCACTCTTTTCTTAGATCCAGTTGAAGTCGATGAATTGAATAAAATAATAAAAATTTAAAACCTTCTGCAGCGGGACACGATGACCTTAAACCTTTTATCATTAAAGAATGCGGATCATTATTTCACCGTCCTCTTTTACATATTTTTAATCTATCTCTCACAAGCGGAATTTTCCCAGATCGACTTAAAATAGCAAAGGTTATTCCTATATATAAAAAAGATGACGCACATTTTTTCACAAATTATCGCCCAATATCAGTTTTACCCATGTTTTCTAAGATTCTGGAAAAGATTATGCACAGTAGAATTACTACATTCAAAGATACAATTGACATTCTGTACATTAACCAATTTGGATTAAGGGAAAAAAGATCTACTTCCATGGCTGTCTTGACTTTTATTGAAAAGATTAGAAAAGCAATCGATGATGGTGAATTTACAATAGGACTATTTCTTGACTTTTCCAAAGCCTTTGATACAAATGATCACAACATTCTATTTAGTAAACTTGACTTTTATGGCATTTGAGGAGTTGCACTTAATTGAATTAAAAGCTATTTTACTCATAGAATTCAGAAAACATCATACAAAGATACTTTATCAGACCCTGAATTGATCACCTGCGGAATCCCCCAGGGTTCAATTCTCGGACCATTGTTTTTTATCCTATACATCAATGATATCTACCTTTATTCTCGACGACTGCTTTTCGCAGATGATACCAATTAATTGATACAAGGGAAAGGTCTAAGTGACCTTGCAGATATTCTCAATACTGAATTAAAACATATAGAGGAATGACTCATTACTAATAAATTATCCCTTAATGCTGACAAAACAAAATATATTATATTTACTTCAACTCAAAAAAGCGGGTAAAGGTATATAAAATTCACTACATCGTCACCAGAAAAAGTTCACACGCATTGCAACAAATTCTGATTATCAAGCTCATTCTCTTCCCTTATTCAAACAACTAAACATTTTAAACATATTTGACATAAATAAGCAATTGAAATGGCTTTTTATGTACAAATGGATTAATGAACTTGATAATTATCAGAAAATTTTCCCAAACCTCTTTATAACTATCCAGGAGAGACATAATTACAACACCCGAAACAAGTGTTCTTATGTCAAGTCCAAAGTACGAACAAATTATGGTAGAGCTATGTTGTCTTTCACTGCACCGATAATTTGGAATGAATTAACTGATGAAATGAAATCATCTGAAAGCATCTTAATTATGAAAAAAAGAACTCAAAAAGTACCTTCTTAATCAATAGTATCATTCATAGTCTATGTTAGTTTTTATAATGATTTGCGGGCCTAATATGACACACACTATTAAGCAGAAACAAATAGTATGCATTATTGCACAAGCAGATCCCCCATCTGTTCATGTATTATTATAAAACACGGGAATATACACATTATGTGTCACCTGTTTATTGTAACCTGTTGTAAAGATATGATTAAATAAGAATAAATAAATAAAAAAAATAAATAAATAAAAAAAATGGAAGATCTAGACAAGCCTCATGAATCTATTGTTGTTTGCATGTTTTTACAGCAAGGCCACCAGGACTGGGTGTTTGACATTAAGTGGTTGGATGATCAGTTCGTTGTAACAGGTGAGATGATTTTCTGTGTTATATTATTATCATCATTTTTTCCTCAGCCATGAGATGCCATGATATAATGCAGGGGTTTCATTAGCAGCAGGTAACAGGCGATTTTCACTGATTATTTTCACAAAATCGCCTGTTCTTTTTTAGGGACTTTTCAACTATTCCATGTTAAATTTATGATTTCCATTAATTTTGCCAGTTGTTTTCATTTATTACTACTATTTAGAACTGCTCAATGCAATGGGTATTAACGTTTTTGGTGTTTATAACAACTGATCGAGTTATTGGCATGGTGAGTGATTGACAAGTTTCATAAAGTTTGTCCTTATACTTCATTATTTCTTGTGATGAATTAAATTTTTACTAGATTTAAGCACTCTCTACAGATTACTCAATATTTTTCAGCATAGAATTTTTACTGTTTTCAAGTTATTTGACTTAAAAAACTGTAAAAATGGGTTCTTTTTCAACGTGCTTCAATCATGGGCATTCAATATGCAACTTTGTGTTATTACACGAGAACTTCTAAATGAGTGGTGCCATGCTTCTCTTTTATGCTTTTTTGGTAATATTTCAAAAAGATTTTGATTAAAGTATATGCTTATAGCATTATCTTGAAGAAAAATCAATTTTGAATTTGATTAAAACATGAAACATGCTTAATCTCATTTACATTTGTAAAAGTAAATAAAAAAGAGCAATAAGGAAATGAGGTATCAAAATGTCCTCTTCGAGTTTTGCATTGTGGGTAATTTTATTCAAGAACCCATTCCAATAAAAATATAATTTGTGGGGAATGTTCTGTTTCATAATTATGATGAATTCCATTTTCTATTAAATTATCAACATGTATGCAGATAATCATGTTTTTATTTTTGGGTTATTTCTTAAAGGGCCCGATAAGCTTCCCGTATAAAAACAATATGGCGGCTCCTGGATCAGTCCATTTTTAAGAAATAAGGGGAGTTCTGTAAAATCCAGTTTAAATTGTCTTTGAGATAAAGTAATCCGTTTATAATGATTTTGAAAACATTATCCATAGAGTGATAGAGTTCAAAGAATATGTACAACAGCCAATATAAATCCTTGTATTAGAACTGCTTTGTTATCCCATCGAACGAAGTTCGGAGGGATATAGGGAACGCCTCCGTCCGTCCGTACGTACGTCCGTACGTACGTACGTCCGTCCGTACGTCCGTCCATCCGTCTGTCCGTCTGTCCGGGCAATAACTCAAATACCGTTGGCCCGACACACTGAGTTCCCTAATGGAAACTGTGATCATGTCCTTAGCTGACCTCTGCTGTAGGCAGGCATCAAGTAACAGTAAGGCGGCCAATCGTTAATGCTAAGTTTTGTTTACTGATAAGAAGCAGCATTTAAAAGTACACTGTGGTTTAGAATCCATTGTAATTAACCGACATTCTAGTTTTTGTAATAATGACCATGGATGTTTCACAAATTGTAGAATTTAATTAGAAAATTAATTTTGTGTATTCAATTACCTTTCCAGAAGTACCAAAAACTTCTAAATCGGTGCAATATACCCTACACACTGATTGACAGCAATTTGCAACCCTCTCATAAACATTCACATTTGAAACTGAATTTGACATCTTCTTACATAATTAAAGAAATAACTGAAGTTTGCCCAATGATGCTGTTTATACACAAATATTCAGGAGTTTAACCTGAGTATTATGATATAAATACCTATTTTCTTTCATTTTTTTTATTTTCCTATATCAAAAATGAATGAATTTTAGTGTAAATCAAATTATGAACTGAACAATTTAAATTTGGATTATTAGAATCGATATCCAGGTAAAAATTGGAAATATCATATTTATAGCTCAGACAGATATAAGCAGATACTCACATTGAAATTTCTTGGAAAATTGTGCTCTTTTGCCACATATCCTACAGGTGTTAAGTAAACAATCCGCATTGTAACTACTGTTCAAACTTGTCATAATCCAAATTAAAGTTCATCTTACTCATTTAAAAAAAATGAAAGAAAATATTGCACTAGTGATTGACAAACGTGAAACTTTTCAGAACAACTACATTATATGCTTCTTGTACAGAAAACTTCTGATTGTTCTTTAATTAACTTTGAAGATGGAAAGAATCAAGATAAGCCAGCATTCCTAAGGTTAAGAAAATCAGACTAATGGCTATTAAGAGTATCAAAGTGGTGAGAAAGGAGTGTTGGGGTTTAAAGTGATGACAGGCTAATTAATTTATTTGCTGAAGATGTTTATGAAGTATACCATATAGTTGTAGTTCCAATAAAACCATGGGATCTAGAGGAATCTGAACAGGCACATTAGCCATATTGTTTATCATAACAACAAGCAACTGAGCATGCGTAGCATTAACAACTGGTCTGCAGCTTAACTTCCTATCAGTTGACCTCAATTCCGTTTTGCCTATCTATGAAATCAGTGTGCCGATTTTGTTCATATTTTGTACACATATACCTTATGGGAGTAGAAGTTCTGCTCGAAAGCCGATTTTCAAAATGGCCGCTCATTTCAAAATGGCGGTCATTTTAGTGCCGATTTTACAGTAATTTAGGTGCAATATGTAAAACTGTTGTAGCAATATGTTTTAAATGTAAAAAAAGTTATAAAGGACATTAATAATGCTACAAATGTAGATATTTAAGAAGCACATGGCAGCCATCTTGAAAAATGGTGGCCTTTACTCATCATTTTACGATTTTTGCTATAACTCAAAAAATAGTGGAGCGATTTTGTTCATATTTGGTATGTGAATACTATAAGCATTGTACACTGTCTTAAGACACTTTTGGTAGAAGGCGGCCATTTTGAAAAATGGCCGCCATTTTAACGTATTTTACTATAACTCGAAAAGTAGTGGAGCAGTTTTTTCATATTTGGTATGTGAATACTATAAGCACGGCACACTGCCCTATGACACTTTTGGTAGAAGGCGGCCATTTTGAAGAAAAAATTGAAAAATGGCCTCCATTTTAACATGTTTTACTGTAACTCGAAAAGTAGTGGAGCGATTTTGTTCATATTTGGTATGTGAATACTATAAGCATGGCACACTGTCCTATGACACTTTTGGTAGAAGGCGGCCATTTTGAAAAAAATTTTGAAAAATGACTGCCATTTTAACGTATTTTACTATTATTATCGAAAAGTAGTGGAGCAATTTTGTTCATATTTGGTATGTGAATACTATAAGCATGGCACACTGTCTATTTCTAATGACACTTTTGGTAGAAGGTGGCCATTTTGAAAAATGGCCGCCATTTTAACGTATTTTACTATAACTCAAAAAGTAGTGGAGCGATTTTGTTCATATTTGATATGTGAATACTTTAAGAATGGCACATTTTCTAATTAAACTTTGGGGAGTAGTCGGCCATTTTGAAAATGGCCACCATTATTATGTGTGTTATTTTACAAGTACGTGTGCGATTTTTCAAAAATTTTAGAGGTGGCTACTGAAAAGCATATTATTTCTTCTGATGACAACTTGGCTAGTGAGCAACCATTTTGAAAATGGTGGCCTTTCTTATGTGTGTTGTTTTATGATATTTGCTATTCGTTTGTAAAAATGCCAGCCATTTCTGTTCGATGGGATTCGCTACACTTTGGCGTTGCCGTTGTTCTGGTTTCATTTGTAGAATATTTAATATGCCAAGCTGTGTGCTATTACGTTATGGGGAAATTTAGATGTCAATTTTTCCTTATTATACACAAATAGAAGATCCTGAAACTTCACCCATAAATGTGGAATTGATTTGTCAAAATAAAAATCACCCTTTTATAAATGCGTGACGATCTATAATATACTTATGCTATATAACAGTTAGAGGTGTTGACACAATGACTTCGAGCCTGTGAACCCTTGAGTATTATTCCGGGATCGGGCCTTTTATACTAAACGGTGAGCAACACCAGAAACGAGTGTTCGATTTGCTAAACGATATGCGTCACCCTTTAAAATCATACATGAAAAGCACAAAACAAGATTTTCCTTGAAATGTGTACAGGAAGCATTTCTTCTCCAATTTTGAAAACCTAAGACAAGGCTTATGTATGAAATATGGGAAGTTGCCTACCCTTCTATTGAAAGCACATGCTTCACTGGGCTTTCAATAGCAGGGGGCGAGTGCCATTTGTTTTCGATAATTCGCCCTTTGTCAGAAGCCAAATATTGTCTAAGTTTTGGGGGAAATTAAAAGTCTTCTATAGACTATCCTTTATTTCATTTAGCGATCTTATTTTGCACTTCCTTGTTTATGATTTGTACATTATATTCCATGGAAATGCAGATAAATGCATAAGTGATACAACGCTGTTCAACCAGTCACAGTACAGTCTTTCCAATGGGTGTAAAATTGTATTAATCAGTTGAAGGTCCAATATAAACTTTGGCTTATCCAATATTATCAAAGTGTGAAATGTGAAACTTTTTATTAATTTCAAAAATGTTTTTTGAAGGAACTTTTGTCCAAAATATCGTGAATTTATAAAAAACTAATTTGGTGAGGTTACACTAGCACACAATTCACACCAATGCTAAGCATTCATCCTCACTTGTTTTTGCCGACAAAATTAAGAACATTGTTTGATAAATAAGCGAGCAAAAGGATTAATGTGTCAACGATGCATCACACTGATATTTAAATTTCTGTCAAGTTATATTTGTATTTTACAATTATCTTGTATTCTGTATTTTACATTTGATGATGTAATTAGAATTGTATTTGACAACAACTTTATTTTTGTATTCAATAGTTAGTTTAGTCTTAGGTCAGTTTTGTAGATTGTAGTTTTTAGTGACTAATATGTCATTGTAATGACATCAGAGAGTCAATAAAAGATATATATATAATAAACTCAATCATGGATGAAAGTGGTTCAGGGCAAATGCATTTCAAAATTTTAAAGGTGACGCCCCTTGTTTTTTTCATCTGCCTCTTGTGCAGAAAGTTACTGAAACCACTGCTTCAATAGACAAGAGGCAAGAAGAAAAAATCTTGATTCACTTCATTAAATATTCAAAATTCAGTCAAAGTGATGTCATATTTGAAATCTACATTTAAAAGTACAGGGTGGTCAAAAAATGGCAACCCTAATTTTTCCTCATATCTCTGTCATTTTAGGAAATAAATCCCTGATATTTGGTGCATTTGCACATCTTTCAATTTCCCACCAGCCTACCATGACCATCTGCAGGGTTCGAAATTAGCGTTGCTGAAGTAACGATTCGTTACTTTATTTCTAAAATTGTTACCTAGCAACATGCCCAAGTAAGAAAATAGTTTCCTGGTTTATGGGAAGATATATATATATGCCGTCAACTCAATCAAAATTTTATTAACATTTTTTCAACCGGTAAGAACAACAACCTTACTTTGGAATTTAGTTACCTAGTAAAATGTCAGGTAACTATTTTCACTTCCAGTCTAAAAAATTTTAAAAAGTTTGAACCCTGATCGTACTGATAGTCACATTATCACAGCATTTTAAGCAAGATGCCCCAGAGGGCCACTTTTGGGCTGTCTGAACTGGTCTGGTATTCGAATGAATTCCATTTCCAACTACACTTGTAAACTCTAACAATTATGTTTTCTTGGGGAGCTGAGCACTTGATAACGGATAAAGTAGTGGAGAGGCACCTTCACACAGATGCACAGTTTAGTGTATACTTGGCACAAAGGGAAAGTGTCCTTTACCCTTGAAGATGCCAACGAAAATTCAATTACTGTCAACATCAAACGCTATATTGTGATTCTCAGGAAGCTCTGGGGGGGGGGGGGTTAGGTAAACTTGGGGAGGTTGATAGGCAGAAACAATGTTTCCAACAAGACAGAGCCATGCCCCATACATCCAATGATGCACTGGAATGGCTTTGGGACCATTTCAATGACCACATTATCAGCTGGATAACAGACAATGAATGGGCATCCAATAGCCCAGATATGGCCCCATTTAACTTTTACCAGTGGGGATACCCCAAGTAATGAGTGTAGGAGAATGACACCAGAACAACATTAGACCTCAAAAGTGTGATCACATGTGTTATTCAGGCCATACTTTGCTGGGGAAAAAACAGGGTTGCTGTTTTTTGACCACCCTGTACATCTAGAAATATGGCTTTGAAAATTGTTTATCAGCTTTGAAAATTTATTATCCCACGCAACGAAGTTCAAGGGGGATAAAGGAAAGCTGTCCCTTCATCCGTCTGTCCGTTCGCCGTCCATCAGTGTGTCCAAGAGATAACTCAAATACCGATTGACTGATTTGATTCAATTTTATAGGCTTATGCCTTATGGGTGTAGGACCTCTGCTCCAGAAGAAATTTTCATTATGGCCCCTCAATTCAAAACAGCCACCATTTTTCGTAAAAAATGTAATCTTTCATAACTCAAATACAAGTTGATGGATTTGATTCAAATTTTTATGCTGATCATAAGGACAAACGAGCTTAGCTTAGAAGAGATTTTCAAGATTGCTTAATTTCAAAATGGTGGTCTTTTCGTAATTAAATGTAATCTATGATAACTCAAATACGAGTGAATGGATTTGCTTCAGATTTTATATGATGATGCCTAGGGTAACAGTAGCTCTGTTAGAGAAAGAATTTTCAAGATGGAGGCTGAATTTCAAAATGGTGGCCATTTTTCGTAAAAAATGTAATCTATGATAACTCAAATACAAGTGAATGGATTTGCTTCAGATTTTATATGATGATGCCTAGAGACACAGTAGCTCTGTGAGAGAAATAATCTCAAGATGGAGGCTAAATTTCAAAATGGCTGCCATTTTTTGTTAAAAAAACGTAATCTTTGATAACTCAAACACCAACGAATGGATTTGGCTCAAATTTATATGATGATGTTTAACACAGTAGATCTGTTAGAGAAAGAATTTTCAAGATGGCGGCTGAATTTCAAAATCGCTGCCATTTATCAGAAAAAAACTTAATCTAGCTTTGCAAACTCATGTACCAGTGGATGGATTTAGTTCAAATTGTCAAGTTCGGGTTCATTCCCCTTAGTCGCAAAATCCCCAAATCTCCTTGTATTGGACATTCGAGGGTTGATCATAAAGTTCTCATAATATCTCTCTAATTTCTTTATTTTTCAATATTTCGTCCCTCCGCTATTAAAAGGTTCTATGTCCACTTGTACCATATTTGAGAAAACCAAGAACAAACATTTAGGTTCCTCTATCTTTGTGATACAGTAAAGTAGAATTTTGACATAAATGGTTATGCCTATTTCCTATTTCTGTTGGAGATCAGGCTTTATAATCTTTGGAAAGAGCATGGTAAATTTAGGGGGAATCCACTTTCACATGCATTTGATCCATATTGGTAGTTAGAACCTTATTATAATGAAGGGACAATTTTCCTATGAAATTTTCACAGAATGTGCAGCATGGAATGTTTTATTATTCTAGCAAAAAAGATTTAGAATAACAGAAACATCAAATAAGAAATGGTTGCCATAGTAACTTGAAATCAAGGCACCCGGGGCAAATAAAAAACTAGCTAGAATAGCCCCCATTAACCATGTTTAAATACATAATAAGTTGTCAAATAAGCTATCAAACACATTAAATTGTCAAATAATATGTGCTCTTGATCATTGTGAACTATTATAATGGTCATGTGGATTGCGTGATCTCATAATGGATGATTGTTTTTTCTTCATTAGAAGTGACTGTTAGACCCCATGACTGTTTTGTCAAATATTCCGAGGAAAATTGATTTTGCCCCTTTAGTTCAATTTTAACATATACAGACCACACACAAAGTGTAATTTTGTTGATATCTAGCAATATATTTGTTTTAGATCATGTTTAGTCTGACCATAGGATCTTACAAACTTAACATAACATTTTATCAGTATGAATTTTATTTTTCTGAAGATCTCTGCATCCATTGCATTCTCTTACTCAGTCATTTCTGATCATTAGCTTTGAGTCTCAGACTGTGGTATCACATGCTATCTGACCAGAACAATCTGCATTTTTTATGTCACCACCAAAAGTGGTGACATATTGTTATGGTCTCCGTTTTTTATGTCACCACCAAAAGTGGTGACATATTGTTATGGTCTCCGTTTTTTTGCGACGGCGGTTGGTGGTTGGCGTCCGGTGGTTGGTGTCTGGTGGTTGGCGTCTGGCAGTTGGTGGTTGGAGGTTGGCGTCCGGCGTCTGTAACAATTTCTTACAACTTCCTATAACTTAACAAATACTGTTTAGACTGACTAAAAAATTTTTTCAAAATCATCTACATGTTCTCAGAAATTCAAATCTGACTTTAGATTTGACATTTGACCTTCAATGACCAAAAAAGGTCAAAAAGGTCTGTTTTCAACTTGCTTCAAGTTGACTAAAAAATTTTTTCAAAATCATCTATGTGTTCTCAGAAATTCAAATCTGACTTTAGATTTGACTTAAGATTTTACATGTGATGACCTTCAATGACCTTCTCAAAGTAAAAAAAAGGTCATAAAGGTCTTTTTTCAACTTGCTTCAAATTGACTAAAAAAAAATTTCAAAATCATCTACATGTTCTCAGAAATTCAAATCTGACTTTAGATTTGACATTTGACCTTCAATGACCTTCCCAAATGTCAAAAAAGGTCAAAAAGGTATTTTTTCATCTTGCTTCATCTTTTCAGAAGTTCAAATTTGACTTTACAAGTTCTCAGAAATTCAAATCTGACTTAAGTTTGAACTCATAATATTGTGAGCAACTAGGTGGTGACATTTTGTCATGTTAATGCCTTGTTACCAATTTCTTTTTAAAAAACATCTTCAAATTCTAGGAGTTCAAATCTGACCATAGTTTTGAGATTTAACCCTAACTTGGCCTTCAGTGACATTCGAAGGTCAAAAAATTGATTTTTCAAATTCAAATTTTGGTCAGCTTAATCATAAAATACCTTTTGAGCTCTAAGAAAAGTAAAATTTGCAAGGTCTAAGGTCAAGATCATTAAACTAGGTCACAAACTTTACTATCTAAGTTTCTCAAAGTTTAAAACTACAAATCAATATTCTTGGTTGAAAGTCAGGATACACATTCCTATAAAGGTCATACACTGTGTGAGCTTTCAATAGATGAATGCATGATAAATATGTGTTAAAATTATGGACTAGTAAAGTTTACTGCTAGAACTGACATTTATGTCATTGTGACTCTGCTTAGTACAGTGTTACATCATTCAGTTGATCTCATGCTTTTCTACAAGAGGATTTGTACTTTTAAAGATATAAGCCTCAATTTTTGTTTAATATTTTCTCTTGAATCTATTCAAAGCCATCCTAAAATTTTATTTTTAAGGATCACGAGATGGTAACCTTGCTTTATGGCATATTCCCGATACCTTGGAGGACAACGTTTCAAGGATGCAGAGTCTGCAAGTACCTGAATATTCAGTGATAAACCCCACATTACGACGATTCTGTAAAAAAGCTGAAAAAGTACGGGCATTGGCCTATAATGATAATTCTGGTGTAAGTTTCAATCCCATTTTATCCGTGAATATTTAATATTTTCATAAAAGAAAGAAGATATAGTCACGCAGTGGCAACATTTTTTGTAACTACGATGTTTATATTGAGGTTGCCCATTTTCTTGTACATAATTCAGTCACTTTGATCAACTCAAATGTATTATGTTTTTCCAAGAATATTATTTTATTGACATGAACCCTCAAAAAACAATTAAAATAAACTTATTATGGCTCATATCCTTTTCTGTTGTAGCATATAGCTGCCTTGTCACTTAATGCTTATGTTCACCAGTATGACACAAGAACCTTCAAACAGGTAAGCAGCAACTCCTGCCTCATCCATTAATGCTTATGTTCACCAGTATGACACAATAACCTTCAAACAGGTAAACAACAACTCCTGCCTTGTCCCTTAATGCGTTTGTTCACCAGTATGACACAAGAACCTTCAAACAGGTAAGCAACAACTCCTGCCTTGTCCCTTAATGCTTATGTTCACCAGTATGACACAAAAACCTTCAAACAGGTAAGCAACAACTCCTGCCTTGTCCCTTAATGCTTATGTTCACCAGTATGACACAAAAACCTTCAAACAGGTAAGCAACAACTCCTGCCTTGTCCCTTAATGTGTATGTTCACCAGTATGACACAAGAACCTTCAAACAGGTAAGCAACAACTCCTGCCTTGTCCCTTAATGTGTATGTTCACCAGTATGACACAAAAACCTTCAAACAGGTAAGCAACAACTCCTGCCTTGTCAATTAATGCTTATGTTCACCAGTATGACACAAGAACCTTCAAACAGGTAAGCAACAACTCCTGCCTTGTCAATTAATGCTTATGTTCACCAGTATGACACAAGAACCTTCAAACAGGTAAGCAACAACTCCTGCCTTGTCCCTTAATGCGTTTGTTCACCAGTATGACACAAAAACCTTCAAACAGGTAAGCAACAACTCCTGCCTTGTCCATTAATGCTTATGTTCACCAGTATGACACAAAAACCTTCAAACAGGTAAGCAACAACTCCTGCCTTGTCAATTAATGCTTATGTTCACCAGTATGACACAAGAACCTTCAAACAGGTAAGCAACAACTCCTGCCTTGTCCATTAATGCTTATGTTCACCAGTATGACACAAGAACCTTCAAACAGGTAAGCAACAACTCCTGCCTTGTCAATTAATGCTTATGTTCACCAGTATGACACAAGAACCTTCAAACAGGTAAGCAACAACTCCTGCCTTGTCAATTAATGCTTATGTTCACCAGTATGACACAAGAACCTTCAAACAGGTAAGCAGCAACTCCTGCCTCATCCATTAATGCTTATGTTCACCAGTATGACACAATAACCTTCAAACAGGTAAACAACAACTCCTGCCTTGTCCCTTAATGCGTTTGTTCACCAGTATGACACAAGAACCTTCAAACAGGTAAGCAACAACTCCTGCCTTGTCCCTTAATGCTTATGTTCACCAGTATGACACAAAAACCTTCAAACAGGTAAGCAACAACTCCTGCCTTGTCCCTTAATGCTTATGTTCACCAGTATGACACAAAAACCTTCAAACAGGTAAGCAACAACTCCTGCCTTGTCCCTTAATGTGTATGTTCACCAGTATGACACAAGAACCTTCAAACAGGTAAGCAACAACTCCTGCCTTGTCCCTTAATGTGTATGTTCACCAGTATGACACAAAAACCTTCAAACAGGTAAGCAACAACTCCTGCCTTGTCAATTAATGCTTATGTTCACCAGTATGACACAAGAACCTTCAAACAGGTAAGCAACAACTCCTGCCTTGTCAATTAATGCTTATGTTCACCAGTATGACACAAGAACCTTCAAACAGGTAAGCAACAACTCCTGCCTTGTCCCTTAATGCGTTTGTTCACCAGTATGACACAAAAACCTTCAAACAGGTAAGCAACAACTCCTGCCTTGTCCATTAATGCTTATGTTCACCAGTATGACACAAAAACCTTCAAACAGGTAAGCAACAACTCCTGCCTTGTCAATTAATGCTTATGTTCACCAGTATGACACAAGAACCTTCAAACAGGTAAGCAACAACTCCTGCCTTGTCCATTAATGCTTATGTTCACCAGTATGACACAAGAACCTTCAAACAGGTAAGCAACAACTCCTGCCTTGTCAATTAATGCTTATGTTCACCAGTATGACACAAGAACCTTCAAACAGGTAAGCAACAACTCCTGCCTTGTCAATTAATGCTTATGTTCACCAGTATGACACAAGAACCTTCAAACAGGTAAGCAACAACTCCTGCCTTGTCCCTTAATGCGTTTGTTCACCAGTATGACACAAAAACCTTCAAACAGGTAAGCAACAACTCCTGCCTTGTCCCTTAATGCGTTTGTTCACCAGTATGACACAAGAACCTTCAAACAGGTAAGCAACAACTCCTGCCTTGTCCCTTAATGCTTATGTTCACCAGTATGACACAAAAACCTTCAAACAGGTAAGCAACAACTCCTGCCTTGTCCCTTAATGCTTATGTTCACCAGTATGACACAAAAACCTTCAAACAGGTAAGCAACAACTCCTGCCTTGTCCCTTAATGTGTATGTTCACCAGTATGACACAAGAACCTTCAAACAGGTAAGCAACAACTCCTGCCTTGTCCCTTAATGCTTATGTTCACCAGTATGACACAAGAACCTTCAAACAGGTAAGCAGCAACTCTTGCCTTGTCCATTAATGCTTATGTTCACCAGTATGACACAAGAACCTTCAAACAGGTAAGCAACAACTCCTGCCTTGTCCCTTAATGCTTATGTTCACCAGTATGACACAAAAACCTTCAAACAGGTAAGCAACAACTCCTGCCTTGTCCCTTAATGTGTATGTTCACCAGTATGACACAAGAACCTTCAAACAGGTAAGCAGCAACTCTTGCCTTGTCAATTAATGCTTATGTTCACCAGTATGACACAAGAACCTTCAAACAGGTAAGCAACAACTCCTGCCTTGTCCATTAATGCTTATGTTCACCAGTATGACACAAGAACCTTCAAACAGGTAAGCAGCAACTCTTGCCTTGTCCATTAATGCTTATGTTCACCAGTATGACACAAGAACCTTCAAACAGGTAAGCAACAACTCCTGCCTTGTCCATTAATGCTTATGTTCACCAGTATGACACAAAAACCTTCAAACAGGTAAGCAACAACTCCTGCCTTGTCCCTTAATACGTTTGTTCACCAGTATGACACAAGAACCTTCAAACAGGTAAGCAACAACTCCTGCCTTGTCCCTTAATGCGTTTGTTCACCAGTATGACACAAAAACCTTCAAACAGGTAAGCAACAACTCCTGCCTTGTCCCTTAATGCGTTTGTTCACCAGTATGACACAAGAACCTTCAAACAGGTAAGCAACAACTCCTGCCTTGTCCCTTAATGCTTATGTTCACCAGTATGACACAAGAACCTTCAAACAGGTAAGCAACAACTCCTGCCTTGTCAGTAAATGTGTATGTTCACCAGTATGACACAAGAACCTTCAAACAGGTAAGCAACAACTCCTGCCTTGTCCCTTAATGCTTATGTTCACCAGTATGACACAAAAACCTTCAAACAGGTAAGCAACAACTCCTGCCTTGTCAATTAATGCTTATGTTCACCAGTATGACACAAGAACCTTCAAACAGGTAAGCAACAACTCCTGCCTTGTCCATTAATGCTTATGTTCACCAGTATGACACAAAAACCTTCAAACAGGTAAGCAACAACTCCTGCCTTGTCCATTAATGCTTATGTTCACCAGTATGACACAAGAACCTTCAAATAGGTAAGCAACAACTCTTGCCTTGTCCATTAATGCTTATGTTCACCAGTATGACACAAGAACCTTCAAACAGGTAAGCAGCAACTCTTGCCTTGTCCATTAATGCTTATGTTCACCAGTATGACACAAGAACCTTCAAACAGGTAAGCAACAACTCCTGCCTTGTCCATTAATGCTTATGTTCACCAGTATGACACAAAAACCTTCAAACAGGTAAGCAACAACTCCTGCCTTGTCCATTAATGCTTATGTTCACCAGTATGACACAAGAACCTTCAAACAGGAAAGCAGCAACTCTTGCCTTGTCCATTAATGCTTATGTTCACCAGTATGACACAAGAACCTTCAAACAGGTAAGCAACAACTCCTGCCTTGTCCATTAATGCTTATGTTCACCAGTATGACACAAGAACCTTCAAACAGGTAAGCAACAACTCCTGCCTTGTCCATTAATGCTTATGTTCACCAGTATGACACAAGAACCTTCAAACAGGTAAGCAACAACTCCTGCCTTGTCCCTTAATGTGTATGTTCACCAGTATGACACAAGAACCTTCAAACAGGTAAACAACAACTCCTGCCTTGTCCCTTAATGCGTTTGTTCACCAGTATGACACAAGAACCTTCAAACAGGTAAGCAACAACTCCTGCCTTGTCCCTTAATGCTTATGTTCACCAGTATGACACAAAAACCTTCAAACAGGTAAGCAACAACTCCTGCCTTGTCCCTTAATGCTTATGTTCACCAGTATGACACAAAAACCTTCAAACAGGTAAGCAACAACTCCTGCCTTGTCCCTTAATGTGTATGTTCACCAGTATGACACAAGAACCTTCAAACAGGTAAGCAACAACTCCTGCCTTGTCCCTTAATGTGTATGTTCACCAGTATGACACAAAAACCTTCAAACAGGTAAGCAACAACTCCTGCCTTGTCAATTAATGCTTATGTTCACCAGTATGACACAAGAACCTTCAAACAGGTAAGCAACAACTCCTGCCTTGTCAATTAATGCTTATGTTCACCAGTATGACACAAGAACCTTCAAACAGGTAAGCAACAACTCCTGCCTTGTCCCTTAATGCGTTTGTTCACCAGTATGACACAAAAACCTTCAAACAGGTAAGCAACAACTCCTGCCTTGTCCATTAATGCTTATGTTCACCAGTATGACACAAAAACCTTCAAACAGGTAAGCAACAACTCCTGCCTTGTCAATTAATGCTTATGTTCACCAGTATGACACAAGAACCTTCAAACAGGTAAGCAACAACTCCTGCCTTGTCCATTAATGCTTATGTTCACCAGTATGACACAAGAACCTTCAAACAGGTAAGCAACAACTCCTGCCTTGTCAATTAATGCTTATGTTCACCAGTATGACACAAGAACCTTCAAACAGGTAAGCAACAACTCCTGCCTTGTCAATTAATGCTTATGTTCACCAGTATGACACAAGAACCTTCAAACAGGTAAGCAACAACTCCTGCCTTGTCCCTTAA